CGAGATGCCCTCCTACAGATACAAATGGGCACCTATGCCAACGGCGCAACCTGTTATTATACATTCCCCTATACAAACAACGTGTTAATCGGGCCGCGTACGAGCTGGCTATCGGTATACGCGCCGTGGAAACCGATTTATCGATCGTTTTGTCTGCGCTCCTTCTTCTCCTCCTCCTCCTCGTATTCTTTTCCTCTTTCTTCGTGGATATATATATATGTATAAATTGGAATACACGCGAGGACCGTACCCTTTCACCAGACGAATTTTGACCAACAACGATTCCGACTGTTCTCCAGTTGATTTCTCTTTTCGTTCGATTTTTTTTTTTTCTCCAGGATGGAGTTTGGATCTTGTTCCAAATCCAAGATGGGTGATTGGAAGGCTTTTTCTTGGAGAATTTAAAATGGAGAATATCAATGGAGCTTTATGTATACTTTAGAGTATTTGATAAGCTTATTTTTTGTTGAAAGGGAATGATTAGGGTGGAATAGGATGTTAGGATAAAAGAGTAATATTTGGAGATAAGGGATCTTATTTGCACACTTAATAATTAAACACGAAAATTGTTGCGTAAAAATATTTTATTTATCCGAGATTTTCAACAAATTAATACAATTTCACAATTGATTTTCAATCTACAGAATAATCTCTTGTATTTTCCATCTACTTCTCCACATCCACAAGTATAAAAACGACAAATATAACACGAACGATCCTCACAAAATGATCACAGATTTTATATATACACCCTTAACTACGCCCTTATTTTTGTATACAACAAAAAGGAACAACCTCTCCACGACAACCTCGTCCACCCCCATCGGTGCATCACCGCCAAGATAAAACGAGACCACGGGATAAAACGAACGACTCGAAGTAATTCAATTTCCCCAGGGTTCATCGTGGCCGGTAATAAAGCTGGGGAATAGGTCGAGGCCCGATGACGAGGAGAAATCCGCGTCGAGGAGAAATCTTTCCCTCTTAACGACGTGTCGTAACGTCCGAAAGCTTTTTGTCATAATGCGGCCCAGAACACCACCCCTTGGTGGCGGCGTGCCGTTTTATCGGTCGTGGATCGGCCGCGGATCGATCCTCGGTTCGCTCACCGTGGATTTTCAGGGCTTAGTTTCGTTGGTCGGCCGAGCTAGTTGGGGGTTGTTGCCGATCGCTCAAGATCGTCGAGAGGGGGAGGAGAAGGGAGGGGCGAGAGAAATGCCCGGAGGCGGCATCGAGATCGAGACGATGAGCAGCGCACCAGGTGCATCGAGGCTCTGGACCACGAACCGCGATCCAATGCAGATACACGCTCTCTCCATTCTTCCTCCTCCTCCTCCTCCTCCTCCTCTTCTTCGCCTCGCTGAAATAGCGAGGCTGATCCCAGTTCTTCTTGCTGCTCGTTTCCTCTCCACGTTGACTTCGAAGTCATTTGATCGATTTCGTGGGGGGATATTCGAGAGCTCGTTTATTCAGAGTGTTGATACGAAAATATCAGGTTTGTCTAATGAGCAAGTTAGATTGAGCAAGATGGAGAGTGATAAGAGCTATCTTATCTAATGTAAATTGTTTGTAAGATCTGGAATTTTTTAAACATTCTTTATTTCAAAAGAATCTGAAGAGATTCGTGGTAGTTGTAATAATTTTCCAAAGATTTATTACATCAGATTTATGACATATATTGTCATCAATTTTTTTCTCCATTTTACGATCAATGGAAAGAATGGAAAGACATTTAAAATTCCCTCCCAAAAATTTTAACTTCCTCGAGAAACTAGCTCGTTTATCGTTATATAAGAGAATCATCAGAGATCGATCTATTCCATTTCATACATCGTACACTCTCTTCCATAACCTGCCCAATCCTCGAACATCAAAGCTTTCCTACACCGTTCAAACAAATCGTCTCATCTCACAACCATCCTCCTCGCCAAAACTCTCTCCATCCCCCAATCTTCAACATCGAATATTCAAAATTCGCAGCCAAAACGCAACCAACCCTCTCTTTCCTTCCCCAAAGAAATATTCATCCGTCGAACGACGATACACACACACACACACACACACACACATATCTCCGTGGCCTTGCCTCTGCCCGGGTTCCACCACCCCCATTTCGAATTCCTCGGAATTTCGCGGCCGTGGTGACTGGCGGTGGCGACCGCGTGCGCTTCGCGATAAGCTTCTCCACCCTTCGGCACCACCCACCCTCCAAGCACGAATCCGACCACCTCTCCCACCCCCTCGTCATCCCTGCGGGAAGAGGAGGAAGAGGAGGAGGAGGAGGAGGAAAGTTTTGGAAGGGGGGAGGGGGAGAGGTGGCGTTCGATCGATCTCCGCTCATCGCGGATTCGTTATCTTTATCCGAGGCGCGCTGGTATATATATATATATATATCTGATCGGACTGGAGTTCCTCCTTTGCCTCCTGGTGTCTAAAGGGGTGGTGGTGGCGAGGAGGGTGGTAACTGCCGTAATTTTAAAACGATCCGCAGGATTTCGGTGGCGGCCGAGGGTTTATTTATGGTCGCGGCAACGAGGGTGGAGATGGCTGTCTTATCGGCCGTGCCCCGATAATTGCTCGGTTTTTGCGATGGAGGGGTGGTGCGAAGGAGGTGGAGGTCGATGGCTTTCCGTGCTCGTGGAGAGGTAAGGAGAGGAGGTTGGAGGGGGAGGGAGGGGTGGTAGGATGTTTTACGGGTGTTTCGCGAGCGAGGAGAGCGTTGGGGCCTGGACGGAGGAGTTTTATCCTCCCCGTTCGATGATTGCCGCCCGCTTTTTGCAACCGTATTGGCCAGCGTCAGGCGATGATTTTCTACCTTCTGTTCGAAATGAGTTTTGGGAAGTTTGGGAGGTATGTTGGGTATGGAGAAAGGTTTTGGGATGATTCGTTTGTTTATCGTGAGTTTAATTTTCCACATATGTACTTTGATCTGTTGATATGTACTTTGATCTGTTGGATTTAATATCTGGTTTATTAGTGTAATTGGTAAATCTATTTATATATCTTCGACTTGTTAGAGATATGAATAAAATCGAATTGCAAGTACTATATTCAGTTTCCAATAATAATAAAAATTTGAAACGATATTTTTCTTAATTAATTTATAATCTGATGTTTTCTTCTCCCTGGAGAATATTCATCCCCAGATGGTTAATATTTGGTATCCTTAGCTCGAATACGATCCATAGTATTTCGACTATATTTAGACCAAGAAGAAGTAAGTCGACGTAGTAAAGTGTGTGTTATAAATTATATTTATACAATGTATTGTCTTTACGATTCGATGTCACATATTTTCGATGATGTCGATCTATTTTCAGCCCCCGATCCATCGCGAACGTTGCCTCCAATAATATGGAGTATCGGTTCCCCATTATACGGGGAGCGGAATCGTTGCCTGTATCAATCTGAAAAAACAAAATCGAAGAGAATGGAAACGATGCGCAGCCGGGACTCAGCCGAGTTTATCTCGGAGTTCGGCTCATCGGTTCCTCTGGTTCATGCATCGGTGTCCTTTATCGACTGTTCGCCATGTCCCGGGAACATTACCGACCGGTTGATTGATATACAAAGTTGACAAAGTGCGCTACGTCGGTTGTCTACGTGTTGTCGTCGTCGAGGTAATGGCGCGGCAACCCTATCTCGCTGTTCTACCCCTCGCACTGCTGTACCTCTGTACGTACCTCCGTATCTTTCTTCGAAAAGGAATTCGTGGATCATAATTCGTGGAACGATACATGCGATTATTGGCTGTGGTATTGGAGGTCGTGGTTTCTGGATGCAAGGGTACGTTAAAAGAATCTTGTGTTCTTAATGGACACAATGTAGATTGATATGCATTTGATTACAAAAGTATCCGGCCATATTGGATTTATTATATGCTGTAATAAAAATTAAGAAATAGTCAGAAGGGATTCTGGATACTTTTGAGATCAATTGTGTATTGATGAATCCTTATACGTTTCCTATACCTACACAGGGTAGAGTCTTCAAACTCTATCGTCTGGAATATCTCGATTGCTTTTAATGATATTAAAAAATGTTTCGGGTAAAAGTTGAATGGTTTCGAGGAAGGTATATTGTGGTGTTACTAGTTTTTCATAGATGGGCGCGTGGAAGTAATACGAAGATTAGGTTTTTTTAAATAGGAATATATATTTTTTTATGTATGGATAGATGCAAGATGTTATTCTCTATAGAAAATTATTAGGCCACTTCTAGGAAAAAGTCATTAGTTTACGAGATAATTAAAAATAATTAAATATCTCTTAAACTATTAACTTTTCGTTGCAAGTGGTCTAATAGTTTTATATAAAGAATGTCAAATTGCATCGATTAATGCATTAAAAAGTATATGGTTCCATTTAAAAAAATAACAATGATCTTCATATGTTTTTTATGCGTCCACTAATAGAAAAATTAATGACATCAGATTATAGCCTTTTCGAAACCGTTCAATTTTTATTTGAAACATTTTTCAATATTATGAAAAAGAAATGAGATATATTAAGATAATAAAGTTATGTAAGACACCCTATTCCCTGAATCCCTTAGAATTAAGTAAAATGTCAAAAAATGATTAATTCCAAACAATATAGCAGAATTAAAAGGTAAGTATAAGGTAAGTATAAGGTAAGTACATTTATTTCCAAAAAATTTTCAGTGCCACCTCTTCTAGAATTATATTTTCCTAATACAAAATTGAAAAAATGAACAAAAATTTCTACCTCCGAATCACAAATCAATTGCACGTGCCACCTCCTATAGGATTATAGTTTCCTATTACTAAGTCGTAAATTTCGACAAAAATTCTCGCAGCTCGAATTTTCGACTTTTGATTAGGAGAACATGATACGTGAAGAGGTGGCACGCGAAATTTTTCCCGAAATTTAAAGTCCAACTATTTCTGGCTAAAATTTTCGACTTTTGATTAGGAGAATATGATACGTGAAGAGGTAGCACGCGAAATTTTTTCCGAAATTTAAAGTCCAACTATTTCAGGCTAAAATTTTCGACTTTTGATTAGGAAAATATGATACGTGAAGAGGTGGCACGCGAAATTTTTCGTAAAATTCCAATTCTTAAAAATTCTGGCTAGAATGTCGACTTTTGATTAGGAGAATATGATACGTGAAGAGGTAGCACGCGAAATTTTTTCCGAAATTTAAAGTCCAACTATTTCTGGCTAAAATTTTCGGCTTTTGATTAGGAGAATATGATACGTGAAGAGGTAGCACGCGAAATTTTTTCCGAAATTTAAAGTCCAACTATTTCTGGCTAAAATTTTCGGCTTTTGATTAGGAGAATATGATACGTGAAGAGGTGGCACGCGAAATTTTTCCCGAAATTTAAAGTCCAACC